AAACAAGAACTAATTACTTAAAACCCAGTGTGGGACGCTCACGTCTTTGAAGGTCACGCTGACAATGACAGTGGTGTTGGAATAAAGCGTCTCGATACGATGCTTGTGTTTAGGAAATGGAGTTCACCGATTTTTAGAGGGTATACAAATGATATGTCAAAGTGGATGGGAGCATTTTAATTTTAATAATCGTTGGCGTCAACAACTGTCTTTATTGTCATTACACTAAGGAAGATATTTATAAATTTCCGTTATTAAAATTTATGCAAACTTCTTTTCAATAAGAACAAAATTGTAGCTGTGTTTGCAAATAGTTCTCAAAACCACAATTTAATAATAGATATTTCTCATCTTCATTCATATTCATCTAGTCAAGGATATACCTAATTGAAGTTACAGTATGTGTGTGTGCGTGCGTGCGTGCTCCCTTATGGTGTATGTATTGTTGAGCCTTTCATAATAAGTTAAATTAAAACAAACTAAATATGTTTTAATTTAATCCAAGAAAATTATTTTAACAGAAAAGTAAAATTAAATTTCATCTTTGTAATTACAAACCATTTTTTATACTAGTAAGAAAATTCTTAACTATTTTTAAAGGCTTATTATAATTTAGTATCATTCAAATTTTATTTCATTCACTTTTCTCTGAAAAACGAATTAAAATTTTTTTAATAAAATAACCTCTAAGACAATGGTAGATATAATTAAATTTTCTCTATAAAAGCATAACATGGCGTTAGAGTTTTATTGAGTAAAAATTTAATAAAACTATTGAGAAGTTAGAAATTTGCTTTGAAATTTCATGTAGCTAGAGTATATATATAAGGTATTTTTATTACATAAATCTAGATTGAAATTAACCTACGTTTTCATGTTCGTATAAGTTCATATAACTTATTTTTATTTCAGAAAGTTTAAGTGTTTTTTTAGCAAGATAGATAGCATGTTGTAATACATTTGTAATAATATAATGACTATGTGTTAAATATCTCTGGAATTGCTTCAATATTCTATTTATTAGTTTTGAAAACGAAATGTAATTTAGTTTAACTATTACAATTAAATGATCTTGCAAGAGTAATTTTAATTGTACTGAATAACAAACTGCTATCCTACAAATTTATAGTTAACAGAATACTTTTTATTAGCTGTTCACAACACTGACATACATTTAAAGAGTGATTTCAGATTATCCATGAGATAGAGATAGAGGGAAATCAGTTGAGAGCTGCAAATAATGAGATAGTTGTAGAGAGTACTATATCTTTTTTTTTCCAAAAATTACATCAAAGTAATTTTTTACTGTGTTAGCAGAAATATGGTGAAAAACGAAAAGAGATACATTATTTGTTTCTACATTTCTAAAACTCAGTTCAATATAGTAAAGGAATATTTTTCACTCCTAGGAGAGCCCACATCATTGGGGCGAATTACTCTGGTTGGCGATAATTGTGCCATCTTGGTAACCCTACTTTTAAACACTGCATATGGCAACCCTTACAATTTCTAGCAGTTTCGTATTTTGTGGGCACGCATTTCGAGTTTCATTTTGTTATTGGGCTCCGGGCTGGCTGCTTGTGCGAGGGAATATACTTTAGAGTTTTTTACTTTGTTTAATGCGGAAGATAAGAAAGAATTGATTGAATGGTGTATGAAGGAAGGATTGATTGCTTCGAGTTATGAATGTCCTAAATGTAATGATCGGTATGATGTAACATGGTCAGCAATAAAACACTTTCTTCGAAATCGTACCAGCCACGCCGAATGTATGTTTGGCCATTATCTCGCAGAATAAATATGGCGGCGCTCACATGATCATTCGCTTAGCAATGAGACCTTTAAGACTTTTTTTAAAATCTGTTGTTACGCTGTACCCTCCATTCGGAAAAGATCAGTAAGATAATAAGTGCTGTTTTTATATTTTTTATCTTGACTGTTTAATTTTTGTATTGTTTAAATATATTTTCATTACGCATCCACCTTATCCCGCTATATTCCCTTGCCGACAGTGTCGGTTTTGCCTGGCGCCATCTTGTTCTGGCTTGGCGCTTTTTTTTTGGTTTGTCGCCAAGGGTGTGGGCTCTCCTAGAATTTTACCGAATATTTATTAATTGAATTACTATTAGTGAAATTTGTAAAAAATTTTCCAGTCAATCTCTGATGCTACGCATTGAATGTTTGGTCCTTATAAGCTATTTAACTTCATACTAAATTTCAAAAACAAATATTTTGAAATAGCGTAAAAACATTCCTTTTAGAAAAGTTAGTATCACCAGTAGTAGTTTTCTACTAAACATGCAGTGTCTGTTGTCAATAAAAAAAATAATAAATGTCTCTATTTTTTATCATTACAGAATTGTTTAAAGGTACAAACTTCGTACTTTATCTTTTGATATGTGGGAAACCCCCTGGGTTCCACCCTGGACACCAAGGTAAAATTGAGGCAAAGAATCACTAAGAGCCATTTGTATAATAATAACTTGTATTTATTATCTTGATTCAAATATCAGAAACTCGAATAACATATAATATTTCTATGTTACGTCAAACAAAAGGGATTTACCTTTAATACTAAATTAAATTACGAATTATGAAATTAATCAATAACTACGCGAAAGATCAAATAAGGTCTACCGAAATAAAAGGTCCGAGAAATACACGTAACTCGAATTATTAGCTTTCGTTAACTTAAACTAATTTTATTAAACTAGCGATTATTTTAAGCGATAATAAACTATATTATATCACCTGGCAATAATTTGGTATCTTCAAAAGATTCCTTCGTAGATTACTAACAGTAACTCTTCAATATTGTAATCCAATTGAATCTTCCAAACTTCAGGCTACTGCTGCTGGCTCAATTGCCTTCATCTTTGCTAGCTTACAACGCTCTACTTAAAAATACCCTATCTACTTTGCATATCCCGTTCGCTTTTTCGGAGTTGATTGGAATATATATACACGCGAATTTATAATCCCCAAAAAAGACGCCAAGGAATATTAGTGGAAAGGTTCCGTACAGATTCGTCACAACTATTACGTTATTCTTTTTGCAAATAAATAACTCTGTTACGGTTGCAGCGTATTTGGTTCTGCAGTTGAATAAGGCAAAATAACTTTTTAAAGAATCAAAACATTAAAAATAATTCTGTATTCTAAGAACGACATTTTATTCCACACAAAAAATACAATACTAACTTTTGTCAAAATACAGAAACAAAAATTTTACTTTATATTTACATTAGGTTACAGTGAATATAGGCACATGAATTAATCCAAAAATAAATTCTGAAGACATGACATTTACAAAAACAATGTGTGTAAGAATGCTCTACTATAAGATCCATCAATATATTTTCGAGACGCGAATCTATTTTTTTATCAATTCCAACATAAATATATCAATAAAATAATTTAAAAAATGTTAGTTCATCTGATTATAGCTTATCTTGAAAAATATACCAAAACAAATTAAATCTGCTTGATATTTGATCATAAGCAAAAACAGGTTTTTCATTTAAACGCTCATGTTAGGAAAGCCTTGCTGACCTTCATTTCAAAGTTCTAAAATTTGAATACTGAATCCACAAAAATAGCGAAAGGTTGTGTACACGCTCTTTTCTCAAACAAAGATTAACATACCTTACTGCGTTCATGTTTGTATGCGAAAGTAATTCCCAAACAGAGAAAAATAAAACATTTAATTTGGCTTCGGTTTCTTGTGAAAGATATATTCATGTCAGGTTCCTCGCGGAACTCCAAAACAAGATCTCAGGCGAGTGATTGAATGTGACGGATATCTTCCGGGAAGGATTCTTCTTGAAAAGTTTTACAGGAAAGCAATCCTTCACTTTCATTCAGCTGTCCTTCCCTTTCCTTTTGAACTGTGCTCCAACCCTCTCCATTTACAGCAGGGTTCAGCTTTGTTTGATAAGGCCATGGAAAAGAATGTGATAGCACTGTCTTTGGATTTTCCTAGGAGTTTAATAAATATTTGACATAATTAGATGAAGTATTTAATTAAATACTGAAAGAAGCTATTTTTCTCGTTTCGAAATATATTGTTGCTCTTTAAAAACCATATATATATATATATATATATATATATATATATATATATATATATATATATATATATATCTTGCGTAAAGATTTTTAAGCAGTTTTCTTTTATACTTCTATAAAATAAGATCAATACAAAAAAAAACTAATATAAAAAGTACGTCAATTCCTACTTAGGTCAACAAAGAAAAATTTTATTTTAGTTACTTTTTAATTAATAATTACAACTAACCCTCTGATCGCAACATCCAACACTCAAATGGAGATGATTTGTTTTGATGCCTATAAATAACGCTATGGTGTGATTTTGGGGGTGGGCTACCTTGACATCTTTAGTTGGACTCTAACCATTGAGAGGATTATAGGGTGGTACATGACGATGTTTCTCAACTCCCGATATGTGCGATTTTTCGTATCTATCACCGTCTATCAGACGGATATTCTATAGTTTGTTTGTGTTTGGTAGTATTATTTTTAATTACTTTTACATGGATATAAATAATCTTTAATCAGCTTTTATAAAAATACTTAACCTCAATTCTAGGGATAAAAAATATATTGCTGTGCTTGATTTAAACCCACACATCTTATTTGAGTCGTACTCAATTTCATGAACTATAAGGACATTTAAAACAGTCCTTAAAGGTAAAAAAAATTCAAAAAAATTGCGTACTGGTCTGTCAGACGGATGTTTCTCAGAGCGGAAAAAAATTGATGTTCCGGCCAGAAGGTTAATATGAATATGTATATACATACGCCAGAATCACAATATTAAGAGGCAAAATTGAAAAGGGTTTTCCTTGTAATTTTTTATTTTCCTTTCTATATAGAATGTTGAACTATTATTTTGTTTGTTACCATTTGTTCATTAAATAAATTTATCTATTAAAATAAACTAATATAGTAAAAAGAAATCACATTTTCAGAAACTAGGCCATCCCAGGTGGAATTTGTACCCACGGACCTTTGGATTAAAATCCCAACACACTATCCATTGTGCTGCAGGGACACAAAGAGCGTTTTTCATTTTTATATGTGTTTTAGACTAATATTTTTGTTTGTAACTATTTATTCATCAAGTATATTTAATCAATGGATTAATATTTTAAAAGACTGTACTAACATCTAGTGTCGTCCACTACAAGTTTAAAAAAATGCGTTTGAACTTGAGGGGATGAATAAAAATATTTTACAAAAACGATTGAAAATTTGAACAATATATATATATATATATATATATATATATATAGTAAGAGTGAAGATTTATAGTAGGAAATGAAAACAGAAGCTTTCTTTTAAGTAAAGCAAACAACGTAAATTAATCAACAATGTGCTACAATCTTTATTAAAATTATGTTAAAAAAGGTTTTGTAGTATAAAAAAGGGCAATTCAAAAACTAACAACGAGATAAATATCATATAAAGTTACATAATATGTTTGGAACCATTATTTCTCAAAATTGTATAAATCAATATTGCTTTTTTTAATATTTAATTTTACGTGAATCGCAATATACATATAAATCGTTTTAAGAATATTAATACAGTAAAAATATTATTTAAATGCAGTTATTAGGCAAAAAAAAAGAAAAAATATATTTTTTAACATTCTCCTATTATGTTTAATGTCCATGTAATAATATTTTGCCTATAGACATCTCTACAGAGAATGAACAAGGATTTTTGAAACATTCACATATTTCTTAGAGTTATTTAAATCCTTTGAAATAATAAGAGGCGCTTCTTATTAAAATTTTCTTGCTTCAATAGATTGCAATAAGAACAAATCCCTTTAAAATTACATATTTCAAAAATTTTAGTCCAAGCTGTGTACATGCTTTATCCATATAGATGAAAAAATTATATTATTACAGAGACAATTTCTATAAAAGAAAAAAAAAATATTTCATTCTTTTTTCATTTTTTGCATTCATTCATTCAAAAAAATATTTAATTTCAATAATATTCTTAAAACATTTTCATATGTATATTCTATTTCAAGTGACATTAATATACAAAAAAATTATTCATGTGCACGCTTTTGCAAAACAAGGGTTCCGAATATAGTTAATAGTTTTAAAAAAAATAGATGTTTAAAAATTGGAAATGAAATATAATTCCTGTTCAAATAAAAATAAAATTTATTTGTATACTTTCAAAATTAAAATCAAATCGATAAGTAAAAATATTAATATTGATTATTTTATGGATTATGAGACGAAAAAAAGTTGGAACGTTCCAGTTTGTTTGTTTTTTATGCATATTATTTAATTTTATTTTCCTTTTTTCTTCTCGGATATTTTTTTAAATATCTAATAAGATAATAAATAAATTAATGATGAAATACTACTCATATTTCACTTGAGTTTTATTTTAATTTTCATTCGCTCAAAAAAAGTTTGAAAATATTTCATTTAAAAACTTATTTATGTGCATATACAAGAAAAATTGTTGCCCATTCTGTCGGCGTGACCTCACCAAGAACAAGGTTTAGGTTAAAATAAACTAACCCTGCCTCTAGCAATTTCCTACACACATATGTATTCCACTTAATCATCGATGAAAGGGACGTATAATACGCACCATTCCTTCCCTGAAGCAATTGCGAACCTAGAGAAATTGCTTCGCATAACACTACGCGCATTTGATCACTTGCAACTATTCAGATCGATACAATCATAGGTGATATGCAACAGCCGGCCCCAATGCTTCCAGCAGAAAGACAGTACTCCATATTCTTCGCTAAACACTACGTACAACTGCTTCTCACACTGCAGTCAATTGATTGCCCTGAATCTGCAGACGCTTTTAACATCTTTTCTTCCATGTTACCAGCGATCATTTCTAATTTATTTAGTTAACCGTCAACTTTTTCTACTGACTTTCTGGTTCAAATCTAATTTGTAGTTGCTGCTTCACGGGGCGCGTTATTTTGCTGGTAAATGACTTCACTTGTTAACTTCATCTTATGCATATATTTTTATCGTTACTTTTGTGTATTCAAGCCGAAATTTGTCGGTGCATCGTTAACTTCAATTATAGTTACTTTCCGATTCAAGGGGATAAGTTTGTTTGAAAGTAAAGAAATCCTATTTTAATACCATTGTGTACTATAAATTGTATTTGATTATTTATTTTGAACGAAAGTTTTACTTTAGATTCTTCAGTTTCAATTTGCTATTTTAAATCACAGTAGTTTACGTCATTAGTACATTTTTCGTTACTGATTTTCGTGTAAATCAATTACCCAGTAGCAACACTCAATAAAGAAAAGTTTTTAAGAAAACTAGATTTAGCCTAAAAATTTTATGGCTATATAAAAACTAGATAAGTTAAAAAGTAACTCGGGTTTAGTTTTGGAAATCTAATAATTGCTTCAAATTACAAACTTTGTCATCTGAGACCCATTATACAGAAGCATTGAAACGAATGAGAACTCCTTATTAAAATTACTGCTGTCATTACAAGATCTATCATATATTTCTTTATTTAGAAAAAAATATATATTTAAATCAGTGCTTCTCAAACTTTCAATATTTGTGACCCAATATTCCATCATAATTTTCCTGGTCCCCTCTTCACCATAAAATAACAATGTATTGAATTCAATAATACTATGCTTTTACCTAAGACTACAATACTACTTTAACCTCTTAAGTGTCACCAGCGTATATAACAGTTTCACTTAGCCAAAGCGTTAATTGCCCCAGACGTATATATACGTCTTTCCGAAGTGCGATATCTTCTATGCACTGCCATCCATAAAACTATTTTGAAGGATCTTGAATGCACTATAAGGACCTTGGCAGTATTTACGAAGGAATTTTTTATTTCAGAGGAAGTATTGTTTATTCCTTTTCTTCTCACCACCTAAAACATCACATTCGCACTCATACGTGGAAAATGATGAATTTGGGGAGCGAATCTCGCATCTTTTAATCGACAGTTAGGGGCTTAATTATAAACAGTACAAATTATTAAGATAAGTGTTAATTTTTGTATATAATTTATGTACCACCACAAGCCCATGGGGGTTAATGGTAATTATTAAACTTGCCCTAAACTTAGTAGTGTGAAATATACATACTGAGCAGTTCTGATACATTTATAAGTGCATTATATCAACGTAAGCGTCTATTTTGATTTTTTTTTATGTTAGAAAGTATTTATATTGTTCATTTACTTTCAGTATAAATTATTTTTTTTAAAAAACAATAATCTTTTGTTTTCGATTTTTCATTATTCTCGCGCCCCCCTCATAGATTCATCATGCCCCCTAGGGAGGCGCGCCCCACAGTTTGAGAAACGCTGATTAAAATGATATGATCGATTAATTTAAAAGCAATATGAATGCATTTGTTTCGTTTTCGAATACCACAATTTTTCGAAATAAAACTAAAAATTGTGTAGTTAACTTCATTAATATATATATATATATATATATATATATATATATATCTTATTTTTAAAAATTTTTAATACATATATATATATATATATATATATATATATATATATATATATATGTATATATTAATTTTTTTATATTTTACGCTAATGTTATATGATTTTTATTTTTATGATTTTTTAAAAGTATATATATATATATATATATATATTATTATTATTATCGTATATCGTATCACAATTAATCGTTTCTTATATCGTATCGCAATTAACTTTATGCGGTTCTGCTCTCCTTATTTGGCGGGAACTCGTTACTGCACTCTTGGCCATCGAATTAACTTCGATTTAGTAGGTTGTGTTTATGTTCATATGTTATTTAGTTTAATGATTTTTTAATATTTAAATTCTACGTATATAACTCTTTCCTTTCCTCTTGGTCCATAGTATGACAAATTACAGGTGAAGGTTGGCGCCGCAAAACTTGTTTAAACCTGCAATCCTGGTTTCTAAGGCCAGGAATTTGTCTTTATACTATGTGCTTCCTTCCTACATTTAGTTATCTTAGGTATATAACTATATGTCTATTTTTATATTTTTGTTTATGTATTTGTGTATATGTATATATATGTATAAATTTATATATATGTGTATGTATATGTATATGATTATATATTGAAAAATTCTTTTTTATTGGATTATATATATATATATATATATATATATATAAACAGTTTTATACTTAGCTTCATACTATTAAATTTTTAAGTATGAGAGATATTTAATTATTAATACTTGAATAAAAATAAATGTTCCACAAATGCGAAGAGGTATTGTAAGAATTTAGTTATAACTAAAAAGGAAAATGAAGAAAAATAAATAAATAAATAAAAACTTAATTTTTACTTGATATACTTAAGACTTTCCTACATAGTAATCATCCAGAAATTATTGACCTTTCAAAGTTTATCTTTATATAAATCATTATACTCCGCCCGAAACATTTTTCCACATTTTAAATAATTTCATTTGATTTTTTTTCTTATCTCTGATCCCACAATAGTTTTTTCAGGTATTTGAATAAGAATTTGCAGAGTGTAACAATGGAAGAATAGGATGGACGTGTGTGGTCAACTTTCTAAGCCACATAACTACGATTTCTCAACGGTACCTCGAAATAAGTTAGCAGCAACATTGTCAGTAAAGATGAGTTCGTCTTTAGTAATCATTTAGTGTCATTTCTTGATCAGAGTATTACCTTTTTTGTACCACAGTCTTCAATGACATTCATTTGTAATAGTCTGCAGTTTTAACTCCTTAAGTATTACCGGCGTTTATACACGTCCAACTCAGGTGGTGCATTTAGTGCTCCGGACATGTATACTCGTCCTTCAAAAGGACGATTTTGCACTGTGCTGCTCTGTTCCCAAAGCTTCTGAATACAATAAAAGGACAATGACAGTGCTTTTAAAGAGTTTACTTATTTCGTATTTGAAAGGAAATATTCCAGGAAAGAGGAAATTCATAGCTAGAAGAAATTCAAGCAGTTTTTCAGTATCGTTAAAGTCTTCTAAGAAAAGTGCGGTTGTGAAAATATATGGTTTG